GGTTTCCTGAGTGTTTCTCAGAATGGGGAACTTTCTTGTGGTTGGGATTCAAAGGGAAGCCACAAGGGCGCCACGATTTTTGGAGGTTCCCCTCACCTGCAACTGACCTTCCGACCTAAACACTTTGCTCCCTCGCATAATTTTTCCGAGTCCTCGCTTTTCCGCCTTTCACCCGCCACTTATGGGCTGGGTGGGGCAAAATATGGTTTACACACCACCTTTACCGGGGAAGCATCATCATAACCAGTGGTTGAAACATGTTTCTGTTAGCGCCCAGAAACCAATGTAATGTTGACCCCGGATTAATAAACCCGTCCCACTTTTGGGGGGGTGTTCCCTCCAAAAGTGATGAATCCCCACTAAAAGGAATTGGACACCCCCCTATTAATCAACCAGGGGTTTATTAATCCGGGGTTAACATTAGTTTAAATCTATGTGGTTTAAACCTGTGGTTTTCCCCTTTTCCCCGGCGAAGCGCCCATCAACCAACGGGTGTTCCCCAGCCCATAGGCCCATCACCGCCGACTCCCGACTCGCGCTCGGCGAATCGGCCAAGGCTCGGCGAGCCCCAGGGCCGGCATCGAAGGCCTGGGATCCATTAGGGTCGGGAAGGTGGTGTTAGTTGGATGGAGCCCATGGTTCTAAGCATGTGGATGGAAAAGCGAAGTCCGTCCTGCACCACCTAAGAAGCCGTTTTGAAGCCGTGGCTGAAACCATAAGGTTGGTGGGTATGTACAAAGGAATCAACAGACACCCAGGGGTTCTTAGGTGGTGCAGGAGGTCGTCCATCCACGCTAGGTGTCCTTGTTACGGTTGTTTTGCTGAAAAGTAATAGTAGAAAAGGAAGGCGATTCCTGGTGTGCATTTGGTTCAATCATCTACCAGGGAATCCATCGATTTTCCAAGAAGGACACCTATGGTTCTAAGTCTCCGTTCAGTGGGTTATCTTACCAGGGATACCAACCACTTTACTAAGTACCCGATTGCTCCAATAGAAACCCCGGACGAATTGATCAACCCCAGTTTATGACTTGGGGGGTTTAAGGAATCTAGGGGTGCCTTTCTTTTCCATTCTTTCTCCAAACGCCCTTGACAGAAAACCTCCGGACACGAAAAAAAAGCGCCCGGTTCTGAGAAAAGACACCCTCGTTTTCTATTCGGCAACTTACCCCCTGTAAGACGACCCTCCTGAGTTGGCCTTGCACTTCCGGGAGCGTCCTCTACCCGGTGGACCGGGATTCGGGCTTAGGCGATCGAAGGGCACGCAAGGCCGCAAAAACCGCACCGTCTTTTCAGGGGTCCTCGAGTTCTCTCGTGTTTTTAGCTCTGGGGCAATTTAAGTTGAGCCCCCTTCAAGTGGGATGGTGTTTGAGGGGGATACAAATACATATATATATATATACACAAATACATATGTATATATATATATATATATATTGGGAGTACTTTGTGTCTTTTGGGAACGTCGTTTGTACAAAAACTCACCGAGAGAGCATTTTTCCAGGCATGATTGAAGCTCTGCCTGACCGAATCAAATCAGCTAAAAGCTGCTTGTGGCTCAGGTCTCCGAAGAATATGTGTGGGACATGCTCAAAAGAGGAGCCAAGATCATGCGTTGGGCAAACAATGCGGGAATGAGCCTTATAAACCATCCAACTGTTGGTTTCCTTTGATTTGAGGGGACGCGTTGGGCAGGGAATGCGAAGATGGCGCTCAATCAACAACTACGAAAAACAACCAACAACTAAGAAGACACAAAAGCGACTAACGGACATGGAAAGGAATGCTGGAATGAGCCTTATTCACCATCCAACTGGTGGTTTCCCTTAAGGGGACCAAAGCCTGGGCTCATTCCCTACTGAGCACCAGCAAATCTTTCTTGGAGGAAAGCAGGATTGAATCTTTTAGTGGCCCCATCGTGTTGGACCTTTTTTCAGTCACGCAAGAGGAAGCCTAAATTCAGGCTAGATTTCCCATGCTTTTCAACCATCGTTCTTTCCAACAAGCAGCGGTTGTCTATCTATGCTTTTCTCTGTTGATTCCTGGTGAGCAGGATCCCTACTCAGAATAGTTGAAGATACCCTAGATCAAAAAGAACCCCCTAGATTTGTCCCGCTGAAACAAGGGACGGGAAAACAAAGGACAGGAAGGCCAGTCGCCCATCTTTGCATGACAGAACATCTGTTTGACACGTGGGAAGATGTCCTTCTGGGCAAATTGGTCGATGAAAGGGACAGCCCTGTGGGCGAGTCTTGAATTGGGTGACCGTCAAAATGGATCGGTTTTCCGTTTGGTTTCCCTTTAAAGCAACCCAAAAAGGGTACTAACTAAAGAAGACGAGAAGTGGGGAGTTGAGAGACCATTTCGGGCTTGGGGTTCCCAAAACGGGTCCCAAAACGGCCCTGGAGCCTTCGCACCAACTTGTTGAACCCATGGCTGAAACCACTCGGTTGCTTGGGTACTTCTGGGGAGGCGACTCATTCCACGGGTTTCTGAAGGGTGCGAGCGGATGTCATCTCGCCTCCCGAACCCGGTCAGGCTCTGAGCCGCGGGTTCTGCTGTGGACCACGTCAGGTGATGCGCCCCTCGGCACAAGTTGTTGGCCAAGGGGCTACATGGAAACCGAGATGGGAGGCTCATCTGTTGTCAGGATTTGGACCCCCAGCATGGGGACGCGGCCTTCCTATTTTCGGCTTCCCTTTAGGGGAAATGATAAGCACAACAAACAACGGCATCAATTCCAAAACAACATGGAATTCAGAATCTGTATATCTGTATGACATGGAAACCACTAGGATTCATCATGATGATGCCCACCTGCCACAACCGGCATTTTCAGCTTCGGTGTTCCATGTCCATCTTTAGACCTTCGGTCTCAAAAGACCAGCCTTTTGTTTCCAGATTTTCTGGGCGGCAAGTGAGTGTAAGGGGTATCATCCACAAGGAGATGCCCTTTCCTGATGAGCGTGTTCTTTGTGTGAAACGTTTCATAGGAAGAGTGAGCTCAATGATGGCCCGCTTACTTACTTTGATTTCCCAACAGCGGCACCGCCCAATTCAAAAAAAATGAATTTGCGCAATCCACGCAGGCACTGAGTCTAGGTCCCCCAGCAGTGCCCTTTCTCACCCCTTTTTGGGTTGGGAGGGTTCCCCTACTAAAGTAGACGTCCTGAAAGAACATCGGGTACCTTTATTCCAACCTCTCAAATCTGGAGCACCCAGCGAGTTGTCGTTTTCCACGGCCAGAGTGTTTTCCTTGGTTTTCCCCCATGAGCTCGGCGTCCACCGTTCCGAGCCGGGCAGCGCTTCACGACAGGCTCAGCTGCTCGCTGGACAAGGAGCGGGCGGAGCGGTGCGGGCGATTTCCGGCGGGGCGGCCCGGCGGCAACGGACTTTGGGCCCCTCGGGTCTTCAGTGGGTTAAATTCGGAAGCTACCACTAAACCAGCTAAAAGGCCAAAAAGGCCAAGGGACCGGATGGCTAGCCGCCAAGTCGACGTTTTCCTGAGTTGGCCATGGGTGAAAATCCAAATCGTAATTCCGGTGCACATCCCAATCCCCACTCAAATCCCGACAAACATGGGTGGTGCACCTACCCCAAATGGTATCCCGTTGGTTTTTGACCCACAGCCATTTGGTCCAAAAAAACTCGCCCTTCAATTTGGTGTTCCTGATTGGTTCCGATTTGGTTTTCCTTTCAATTTTAGACTTTTGGACAAGCTACCAACAGGCGAGCCTGAGAACCCATCCAAACGGAAACCAAAAAGGAACAGAAGAACAAGTCACTGCCTCCCAGCGGGTGCCGGAAAATCAGGGCCAAGCAGTTGAAGTGTGGCTCGTGGTGTAGGACTCGGACCGGTTTCCTGTTGGCTTGAAATACCAAAAACTTATCTTCAAGGTACCCTCCCACAGGTGCCAGGGGTGTGGGAGGAGGGGTATAAGTTGGGTTAGAAGGGGATACTTCCAAAGGGGATTTCTCCGCAAATGAGTGTTTTTGTTTTTTGGGGTGCATGTGAATCTGTGCATGAGAAAGCGCCCAAACTAGTTGGCTGGTGGGTCTTCCTTGGACCGTTACAAAAGGAGGTCCCTGCCCAGCTTTAGTTGAAAGGTTTGCCTTGGAGTATCGCCTTGGATGTCGATAGGTCATAAGCCCTCTAAATGCGGCTCGACAAATGCGTGTGTCTTTTTTGGAGGTTGCCCTTTGTGGGGTTGGCTTAAAGGGGACGTCAAGGGAAACCACCCATTTTCAGGGTTCTCTCGGAGCGTCCACCACGCGGCGTTGGGCAGCTGCTGAAGCTGGCAACAAGTCGCCCTCTGAGTACAGGTCGTGTGTCAGCCTCCCGAATGGCATCTCTGCCCGCTCAAAGTCCGCCGCAAAATTTTGCCCTCGCAGTGGTGATTTAAAGGGAAGTTCTGCAAGGGGAATCCCAGTTGTGCCCTTTCTCACCAACTTTTTTGGTTGGGAGGTTTCCCCTGCCTAAAAAATAGCTCACCTAGTTGAGAACCCCACCCCTCAAAATGTTGACTTTCAGGGGCCCCGATGAAATGCTCGGCAGGGCACGGCCTCATTGCCGGCTGTTTGATGGCTCCGGGCAGGGCGCGGGTCTCGTGCAGAGCTCGAGGTGCAAACTCACCACCTTTTTTTGCTGGCTGGGGCAAAGCCCATCATTCTTCCTCCGTGCTTCAATGCCCTCTCCCCATTTGGATATGGGCCAAACAAATCTCCAGGAATTGGACCGCAGGTTTTAGTCCATGTTGCCACTTACAGGGTTCAATTTTGGGTACCTGTTTTTGACCCACAGCCACAGTCGGAGTTGATCATGGAGTTGCCTGTGCCAGAACCCACCGGCAACCACAACCCCCCCCAACCCCAAGCAGTCCCCCCAACACCACCCCCACACCACCCCCCCACACCACCCCCCCACACCACCCCCCCACACCACCCCCCCACACCACCCCCCCACACCACCCCCCAACACCCCCCACACAAGCGAAGCCGCCCCTAGCGCCGAATTCTTGTTTCTCGCCGCGCCATGTGCGGCGGCGCCGTTCATGCGCCATGCAGATTTGGTGGGTGCCAGACCCCTGCGGCCGAAACTATGCGACGCCCTGAGCTTTGTGCCTTCTTCATTCTTTTTTTTGGAAGGGGGGGTCAGTTAGTTGTTGGGGGGGTGTTGTTGTTCTTGGGGGGGGGGAGGTAGGCAAAAGGACGCTTGTCCGTTCAGCTGACCTTCTTGTGTGCTCAGCTCGGGAGCCCATGGGTGAAAGTAGTGTGGCTTGCAGGAAGCCAAGCTCATTTTGACCCACACTCAAAACTCCGGGTGAGGTTAGCAGGGGAGAGCCCCCTTGCCATAAATCAGCGCCTTTGCCGCCCTTCCGACTGAAGCATGGCTCTGCAATTACGACTAGGTTTTGCAGTAGTGCCCTTTCTCACCCTTTTTTGGGGGAGGGTTCCCCTACCAAAATAGACGTCCTGAAGAAAGATCGGGTACCCTTATTATAATTTTCTAATCTGGAGGACCTAGACGAGGATTTTGATGCCGAGCGGTTTTGATGGTCATTTGGCTGTGGGTCAGAACCATTGGTACCATTTTGGTTGGTAGATGAATTCACCACCCATTTTAGGACCTATTTTAGTGGATTGGGTCCCGTTCACTGGGTCACCGGTTTGGATTTTGACCCACCATTTCAGGACTTGACGCACATCCGATGTTGCCCGAGGTCTTTATCGCCCAGGCGAGGAATTTGGGCACCTGTCCGAAGCCTGCACCTGGACAAGACTGGTGGTCACTCTGGTTGCCCTTACACCCCCCCAAAAAGGGGTACCGCCAAAGAAGACCCACCCAAAACAGCACCGGGAGAAGTCCAAATCGGCTTGGTTGGGGCCATTCCCCCAAAAAAACCGAAAACCGGGAGGCGTTCTTTTTTCTGTCATGGCCTGATCCCTCGGGAGCTTGGGAGGTGTTTTCACATGCAAGCTCTGGGGCATCATCAGCTCCACTGTTTGATCGCCTTCTAAACCGGGATGGGTTTGAACATTTGGCCCACAAGTCCTTGCAGTTGAGGACCTCCTTTTCATGAGAAGTAGCACCTGTGCTGGTGCCGTGTCTTACAGGGGGGCAACAGAAACAGCCACAATGTCAGCAAGCAAGGACGAGAGCTTCGGCAAAAACAACGCAACACCAACAAGAATTCACAAACGATCTGTTTTTTTTTTTTTTGTTAGACACTTCAAAATCGCTCAACGGTTTTCCTTTCCCTTTCCAACTTAAGTTTTCCTTCTTGCTCCAAGAAAATGGCAGACCCGGTTTCCGGTTGGCCCTAAAACCGCAAGTTCTCCAGAACTCAAAGAACCGAGCGACGCCCAAAGAGTCCCCGGTTCTCGAGTCGCTACTGGCGGCCTCGGGGCTCTGCGGGGCGTTGGCGCTGCGCAGCGGCGTTTTGCTCGCCTGGCACGAGGCGAAGCGACTTTTTTGGCGTCAGGGAATCGACGTCGACGTCGCCGGCCGGGCGGTTTGCGAGTTTACGGGCGGACAGGCAAATACGGCGGGCGAGTTTTTTCTTTTTCATTTTTTCTTTTTTTTTCTCCCCGTTGTCCTGTTTTTTTTCTTCTTTTTTTTTTTTTTGTCAAGGGGTTGGCAAAAAGATACGGGCGGACGGGCAAATACGGCGGCCGGCCACCAGAGGTCAAACATATGGGAGCCACAATCCAAATATGGGTTCCGTGCAAAAAGAATACTGGCAAACGGCTTTCCAGGTTGGTAAAGGTTGGTAAAGGGAAGCCAGAGGGGAAAACGGCATTTTGGGGGTTCCTCTGAAAACAATTCGCACCCAAATGGCTATGCTCGAAAATGGAGTCCCTCAAAACTGGCACCTTGGTATACGGGAACAAAGACTAATACCAGCAGTTTGCCCCGGCCGTTTCATTTTGAGCTGTAGCCATTAATTTTCGGAGGGCACCACCTGAACGGTGGTGGACATCCCACCAAAGGGTCCGGGAACCATGCAAATTTATATCCGGATACCCTCCGATCCAGGAACTCGGGACTGACATACTTAGGTCCCACTCCGAAATTCACCCCCGACAGATGCCTTCGGAACTCCGGAAGGTTTTCTTTCATAGTCGTACATGGTTCAACTAGAGTTGGTGGACGTGACATACCAACATGCTTAAAACTTAAAAGGGGGTTCAACGCCCAAGTAGGACCTTCCCAGTTACTAGTCCCTACATGGCATCTCAAAAACTTGAAAACCCCGTAGGCCGCGAAATCCCTGGACCACCCCCCGTAAAGCCCCATGAAACAACCCCCCACCATTGTTTAGGACCATCCATTAAACTACAACAGACGTCGACCGTTTTTTCCCCCGTTTTTTCTTCGAACCTCCACCATCCCTCAGGACCCTCCATTAAACTACAAAAGACCTCGACCGTTTTTTTTGTTTTCTTCTAAATCTATGTATTTATATTATTTCTATAATAATAATAATAATGATAATGATAATGATAATAATAATAATAATGATAATAACAATAATGATAATAATAGTACTGATGATGATAATAAAAATAATAATAATAATACTAATAAAAATAAAAATAATAATAATAATAATAATAATAATAAGAACAATAATAATAATACTAATAAAAATAAAAATAATAATAATAATAATAATAATAATAATAATAATAATAATAATAATAATAATAATAATAAGAATAAGAACAATAATAATAATAATAATAATAGTAATAGTAAAAATAAAAAAAACATAATAAAAATACTAATAGTAATAATAATAATAATAATAATAATAATAATAATAATAATAATAATAATAATAATAATAATAATAATAATAATAATAATAATAATAATAATCATGATAATAATAATCATGATAATAACAATAATGATAATAATACTGATAATAATAGTAATACTAATAATAAGAACAATAACAATAATAATAATAGTAATAATAATAATAATAATAATAGTAAATAATAATAATAATAATAATAGTTTTTCTGCTTTTTTCTGCGAACCCGGGTTAACAACCCCCCCCCCCCACCATCCCTCAGCACCCCTTCGGCCCGGGTTCGCAGGGCACCTGGACCCTGGCCGCCTGGGCCCACCTAGCTTGCGCCCTCTCGGACCCCGGCGCCGTGCCCCGCGGCGCCGCGGAGGCGCTGGCGCCGGAGGACGCGACGAGGGACGCGCGACGCGCCGAGCCGCGACGAGGGACGCGCCACGCGACGAGCGACGCGCGGAAGGGGACGCCCTTGACGAGGTTGGAGGGGGCCTTTAACCGAATGACCTCGACATGGACGACCTTTGGACGTAAATGGATGGGTTGATCAAAAGGGTCGCACCATGAAAATTGGAAGCCACGAAACAGATTTGCTTTTTTTGGGTGTTTCTTTTGAGATGGTTGAACAGTTACCCATGGTCAAAACTGGGGGCCCTCTCTCGGGAAACAAAAGCTTGACCCCATAGAAAAATGAATGCGACCCCAACTAGAAAATGCGAGCCGGAACCCTAGCACATACTTTGGATGGTTGCGACATCCGTTCGCGCCACTTGGAAACCATGGTTGAAACCATGGTTCTTAGCAGCCGTCCGGTTCTTTAGGTTCTTAGATGTTTTGAGTTGGTTTAGTGGTTGGATTTCTATTTAACCCACTAATAGTTTAACACTTTTCGCAGGGAATCTTGGGAGAACCCCGATGAAGCACCTCCTTGGTTTGGTGCGGGTTTCCAAGCGGACAAATGTTGAGAACCCTGCTTGGTTACCCTCCCACCAGCTAACATGGAAGTGCAAAAGGCCCCTGCAGAAAGACTACTTTCCTCTTGGAAAGGGCAACTTTTGCACAAACCCTTAGTTGGTGGGAGGGCAGCGCGTTTTGTCTGGCGCGTGCGGAAGTTTCCTTCAGGGGGTAGCTCTCAAAACTGCATGCTTCTCCACCAATTTGCCTTACGTGTCCCTTTCTGGGCTTAAAAGTCGGACTGCGATTTGGGCTCGACACCGAAATTTGAGGAGTGTGGATCTCTCACCTTTCGGGATTCGCGCAAATGGCTCGATGGCTGACTGGGCCCCCCCGTGCCACAGTCGCCTTGCCACCCATGAACTCTAGGTTCCATCTGCGTCCCCTACTGTGGATGGACGACATCCTGCACCACTTCAAACCATTGATGGTTGGTATTTACAGGGGAATCAACATTGTGTGGTTAGGTGGTGCAGAATTTTGCCCATCCATAGTAGTTTGTGTGGTTAAGCGGTTCCATAGATTGCTTCACTCCCTGAGTTCCTGGACTCTATACTTTTCGGGAAGATCATTTAGTGGTAAATAAACAGTTCATACTTTTTCGGGCAGCCCACTCAGGAAGTGAGCAGAGAGAGAGAGAGAGAGAGAGAGAGAGCGAGAAAGAGTAGAGATAGATAGATGGATAGATAGATAGCTAGATAGATAGAGTGATTGCTTGATTGGATTAGATTAGATTAGATTTGATTAGATTAGATCAGGTTAGGTAGATAGATAGAGAGAGAGAGTGTGTGTGTGTGTGGATATTTTGACCCACCCTATTTGGATATTTGGATCGCACCTCAGAGGGCGGGGGGGGGGCCCTGGGAAACTAATTCCTCCCCGCGAAATGGGCCGTTTCCTCCCGCTGAGTCCCTCCCACCCTCTTCACATGGCCTGACGGTCACCGGGATCCGGATCCCGGTTTGGACCATCTTCCTTTTGAAGGGACCGGGTCCATATCGAACGTTAGGTCCCGAACGTGAAATGGTGGGAGGGTATTGTGTTCTTTGAGACAAGAGAGATCGGTGAGGAGCTGGGTGATGTGCGCTGGTGCAAGCATTGCCAGGCCTTTGGTAGCATGTGATTTGTGGTCAAGGGATCCCGAACCCCTGAAAAAAGGACTTGCGGAGGGGCGGTGACCGCTGGAATTTCATTTATGGTGACCCACATTCGCTTGTACGGGGGACAAGAGAAACATGGAAGTTGGGGACCGGGTCCCCAGTACTCCGCAAGGTAGGGATGTCACGGCCAGTTCTTTGGCAGCAACCCTCTCACTAGTCACTAGTCACTCTCCTGAAAACCCTGGAATCCAACCCTAGAACACCGGAAGCAGGAGCACTGATCCCATACTGAAACTTGAAAACACTAGTGCCACAAGTGAAGAGGTCAAGTCCCCCTACTGTGGATGGTTGCGAAATCCATTTCGCACCTAAGAACCCTTGGAATGAGATGGTTCCCCTGTAAATTCCGACAAACGTAATGGTTTCAACCATTTCGTGGTGCAATCCACAGTAGTTTGTTCCCTTTCGGCCAGATCAAGGTGGCCAAGCCGCCGCGGGCGCACCATTGCAGCACGTGCCAGCGCTGCATCCGGAAGATGGACCACCACTGCATGTGGATGAACAACTGCCCCTTGGTGGTCGCCATCAGGATGGCGAGGGAGGGGGTCCAGAAGGTCGATCTTGCAAGCTGGGTCACACGAAATTATTCTATTTGCTTGAGACGATTTGTGTTTGTTTTCCGGTTGGTTTTAGTAGTGGAATCTACCACTACTGGACATAGTTCCTTTTTTCCAGACACTTATGCGAATGGAGAGGGATTGTCCTAAAGCTGGGTGCCAAGTACAGCACGGTCCATGCGCAGCTGATGTTTCCCTGGATTCTGTTTGCAGCACAGGGTGGAGAAGTTGGGAAGACAGTCCTTGCGAACAAAAGGCTGTGGGTCAAAATCCAAATCGTTCCTCCAGTGAAGGGCACCCAATCCAACCACTAAAATAGGTTCTAAAAGGAGGGGGGTCCCTTTTTTTAAAGGAATTGTTTGTCGTTTTTTCCCCCCCCCCCGCTTTTGGCTTCTTGGCTTCTTGGCTTTTTCCGGCTTTTCGGCTTTTCAGCTTTTCGGCTTCTTGGCTTCTTGGCTTCTTGGCTTCTTGGCTTTTTGGCTTCTCGGCTGCTTGTTGGTCTTTTGGCGGCTGTGGCTTCCCGCATCCTCAGCATCACCAGCTCCTCCCTGTTTGAATCCTCGCTTCTTCGAACATCATGGGGGGCTTCCCCCCCAACCCACCCGCGACTTTGTAGATTGTTTGCAGAGTAATTGCACCCCTATTTGAATCAGCGCTTCTTCAACCATCATGGGGCTTTTTCGGGCATCCAATTTCGCGAGAAAATGCTGTAAAATACGACATTCTAGGTATTCTATGTAATCCATGTATGTCTGTATGTATGCACTTCTTCAAACATCATAGGGGAAGCCATCCTCGCCAATCCTCCCGCTGCCTTTTAAATTCTATCGCACCCTTTCTTGAATCATTGCACCCCTACTTGAATCAGCACTTTTGCGAACATCATGGGCTCTTTTGCACCCTCCTATTTTAATCATCATTTTTTTGACCCCGCCAACCCGCCAGCAACTTTTTAGATTTGTGTTGCCCACAATTTGTTGGTGATGCTAGGGATGTTGGTCGACATTGTAAAATGCGCCAGTTCGCGAGAAAATGCTGTAGAATCCAACATGTTACTGGCCTGGACGAAAAACGGAAAAAATAATCAAAAAGCATGGAAAAATAGCAACTCCCAAAATAAATCCGCACCCGTTCTAAAATGGGTGGTGAATTCACCTACCCCAAAATGGGATCCCATTGGTTTTGACCCAGAGCCATATGAACGGTATTGTCTCAGTCACGTGTGAAGACCTCCCTGCGCACAAGCAGGTTTTTGAAGATCGACCCTGTAACACAGCCCATGGCCTTTTCTGAATTCCAGGAGTCCCTTTGGCAGAAAGTGGGCACCTAAAACGTGGACGTGTAGATTCCACGAGGTATCGGGGCGAACAATCAGAAGCACTTCCTCCTCTTCCTCATCTACACGAGCGCGCACTGCCTAGGGGTGCCTCTGCCGCTCGGCCTTGTCAGTCCCCATTTGTCCACATGAGCCACAATCAAAACCCGGGTAGATGAAGGTTAGTAAGGGACAGTCTCAGCCAGAAATAGTTGCGGCCGCCTTCTTAATTCTTTACATGGTTCTGGGTAGACCATTTTGATACCGGGTTTTGCTTGTGACTCGCATGTTTGTTTCGGTCGTCCCGGGTTTTGGGGCCCGGAAAAGCGAAAAAGAGGTCGCAACAACAGGTCTGGGCTTCGCAAAAAATGGGTCAATAAATAGGTGCAGTGTGAACACTCAGTAGGGCCTTGGCTTCAGAAAAAGGCAAGTGCCGGTCTGGTCAACCACCTAAATGGGAACGGAGTAAATTTGGGGTGTTCCCAAATCAGTCCTCCAGCTCGTCCAACAACTCCTATGAATCCAGGTTGAGCAAGAACTCCGGGGTCGACACTTGCGTGGGGTCCTTTTTCTTTTTAAAGGTACCTGTTCTTGGTAGGCTAGGTCCCCCCAGTAGTGCCGTTTTGCCAACTTTTTTGGGGGAGGCTTCCCCACTAAAATAGAGACGTCCTGCAAAAAACATCTGGTACCCTTGTTCTAACCTCTCAAATCTGGAGGACCTATAGGTATTGTGGACAAACTCCTGCAAACTCCTGGTAGGTTTCAAAGAAGAAGTTCAGCAGCAACACCGCCACGTGGGAGGGTTCCGATTCCTCGGCTGGGATGCGGTTTTTCCAGGGGCGTCGTGTGCCTGCTGCTCCGTGCGGATGAGGAGAGCCCCTGGTACCACGTCGCCGGGGGCCCCGGGTCGCGCTGGGCCTTGGACGGTACAGAGCAAAAGGTGCAGGTGGGCTGGCTCGTCATTTGGCTGTGGCTCAAAAAACCGGTACCCAAAATGGGTTGCCCTGGTAAGTGGCAAAATGGGCCAACACCTGCGTAACCCTAGCTCTTTAATTTTGAGCCACACCCATTTTTGTTTGGTGCTGGGGAACCCAAAGGAAAACAAACCAACAAATGTTTGGTCCCCCCCGCGAAGAAAAAAAAAAGGGCGACACACCCTGCCACAGAAATCATCCAACCAGATTCACCGCACCGGAGAAATATGTTTAGCTCGCTCAATGCGATGGGCCGTCCTGGACCTGTCCGGATTTTTGTTTTTCTCCCGGGGCCAAGTCATCGTTTGCCTGCCTGTCATCCTTGGTTTTTGTTTTGGACTCAAAACACGTTTCCCTGACCGAAAAATGTTGCGCAGTCCCCTGGGGGGACCAAAAGGGCTCAACAATCAGTTTGTTGAGGTCATCTATTCACTGTTTCAGTCGAGGCTTGACATCATACTCTTACAAGGCGCTGTTTGCCTCCGCACTTAGGGACCAAAGGGAAGTCGCCTTCGCCTCCCCCCCCATCCCCAGAAATGCCTCTGCACGATTGCATCTGACTGGGTCCCTTGAACATTTCCACGGGTTCGCCAAATGCAACCGGTGGGTTTTTTGTGGTTCATATCTTCAAGCTACCAGTCAGAGGGTGCTACCGTTCAACCCAATTGCGTCGTCATCATGGCAGCCTTTAAAGCCACAATTTGCCTCAGGCAATGTCGAGGACATCACGAGAACTGGGGGCCTAGTTCTTGCGACCCCGCACCTGTTTTTGGAATTTGATGTCGCCTCTACCTTGTGAAAAACGGAAAAGTCAACAGGGGTTGAGAAAGGAAGACCCGGACATTGTTCCAGGAGCGTCATTTCCCATCTCGCACCTCTGCTCGAACCAATTCACCCGACCTCCGGACCCCTAGGCGCACATCTGCGGTGTGGCGGGGCTGCTGCTGGCGGGGTGCGTGGGGCGGTTCTGCGTGCAGCTGCTGATGGAACAGCTGCGGCACCTTTCGGCGAACCAGACGGGCATCGAGCTTCTGCAAGGCGCGAGATGGGTTCGGCTTTTTCGGCGGTCCGAGGCTCGAAGTTTGGAGCTGAGCCCGGAGGTGTTGTTCAAAAAGCAACTGGGGTCCAACATGGAGGTTTTCCGTTTGAAGAGCGCCAAAATACAAGGGTAGCAGCTGTCTGCGGGTCAAGACTTGTTGGCAACCCCGAAAATTTGGGGGTTGCCATTGGGTTGCCATTGGGTCCCGGGAGATTCCTCTGTGCCTGGTTTTGGGCTCGTGAATCTGCAAGAGAGGCTTGGGGTTGAACATTGAGCAAGCAACCCGCCCCCCCCCCGGTAGGGAATGACCCAGGGTGTTGGGGAATGAACCTATGGATTCCTTCAAAGGAAGCCATAGATGATGGTTTCTGGGGGGCATCCCATTTCTCATTCCCCGCATCTCCCGCACCAGCAAGAATATTAGAGTCTCCCAGACTTCGAAGTGGCGAAGTGGTCGCTCGTTTTTTCGATGTCCGTTCAAGAACGGAGCAACCAACAATTCGTATTGTGGACAAACTCCTGCAATAACTTGGGAAACCATTGTTTGTTGGTAGCGGGGGAATCGAATCATTCCAGGGTTTCGTAGGTGGTGCGAAATAAAGATTTCGCAACCATCAACAGCTATGGTTGTCAAGGGCCCCCTACTGTGGATGGGCGAAATCCTGCACCACTTTGAAGGCATGGTTGAAGCCATTTGTTTGTTGGTATGGTGCAGGATCTGAATGGGGTCCCACCAAAAGCAGATCTCTCAACCCATGAGAAGCTTCCAACCTTCCGAGACACCAGCTTCAGGAAATTCGGCAGAACCTTCCTGTTTTTGGTGTCTGTTTGGCTAATTATTGCGGCTAATTTCCTTCAGACATTGGTTTCCATGAACCATGGTTCCTTTGCTTCACTGTTGTTGGCGTGGTTTTAGGTTTTTACGTTTTTTGGTTCTGTTAATTATCAGTAGCGAGCTGCAACACACACACAAACAGTTTTTTCCTAGCGTACCAAGGGTTGGACAGTTTCCCTTTGAAATTTGGGTCTGTGTTCTTTGAGGCTACCTTTTGTTTCATTCGGAAACCAACAGGAAACCCTTTGGCCACCTTGGGGTCCCCCGAATAATAGCAGACACCGCGAGAGGTTTCCCTGTCAGACCAACCACCAAAACTGGGCTGTCCTCTGAGAGTTTGGTTAAATGGAAACCACTAATGTTGACCCCGGATTAATAACCCCCTGTTTATTAATATGGGGTGTTCCCCTCCAAAAGTCGTGAATCCCCACAAAAACCGGGGACACCCCCATATTAATATACAGGGGTTTATTCATCCGGGGTCAACATTAAACCACCGAAAAGCCTAACAAAAACCCACCCAAAAAAGGGCCGGGAGCCAAGTAAACCAGAGGCCTTCGGGATCTAGAGATCTATGCAACCGGATGGTTGGGAACGCGAAAAGGGGCTCATCTTGAACGAAGACCCCATGACGCCCCCATGCTGATTGAACGAAGACCCACCATACAGAAAGTTCCTTTGGAAGCCAACCACCCAAATTGGGCTGTCCTCAGATCCCTACTAAACGCTTATTTTTTTCGTGGTTTAAGCAACCAAACCAAGGCTTGGACCGTTTTTTGTTGTTTTTTTATCATTTTTTCTTGAGGGTGACTCCTGCGAGGCACCACTGGGGAGAGCCGGAGCTTCCGGGCGACGCTCCAGGAGTGCGATTGAGCCCCATGCAACCATTCCATGCTTGTAGCTATAGTATCTACGAAGAAGCATTGTTGTTTGTATTATCTGCATATAATTATATATATATATATACACATATAAAATATATAGATACATCTTATAATGTGCGAATCTACGTATTTATACACATAACATACATAAACACATACCTACCTACCTACCTACCTGCATGGCATGGCATGGTATGGCATGGCATGGCATGACATTGCATCACATCACATGCATTGCAAGCATGCATGCATGCATGCATACGTACGTACACACATCACACATGCACGCATACACACTCAGAGACGCATAAACGCATACACGCATACAGACATACAGGCAAACAGGATAGAGGCATACAGGCATACAGACATACAGGCATGCAGGCATACTGGATAGAGGCATACAGGCATACAGGCATACAGACATACAGGCATGCAGGCACAGATGCAAACATTCATACAAACATGCGTGCATTCATGCACACACATGCATGCTTGCAGTGTACAGGTATATGGATATGCATATGCACAACACACGCACGCACGCACGCACACACCCATACATACATACATACATACATACATACATACATACATACATACATACATACATACATACATACATACATACATACATACATACATACATACATACATACATACATACATACATACATACACATACATACATACATACATACATACATACATACATACATACATACATACATACATACATACATACATACATACATACATACATACATACATACATACATACATACATACATACATACATACATACATACATACATACATACATACATACATACATACATACATACATACATACATACATACATACATACATACATACATACATACATACATACATACATACATACATACATACACACACACAGACATACATTCATTCATTCATTCATTCATTCATTCATTCATTCATTCATTCATTCATTCATTCATTCATACATACATACATACATACATACACACATACACACACACACACATACACACACATACACACACATACACACACATACACATACACATACACATACACATACACATACACATACACATACTCATACACATGCACATGCACATGCACATGCACATGCACATGCACATGCACATGCACATGCACATACACATACACATACACATACACATACACATACTCAGACACAGACACAGACACAGACACATACACATACACATACATATACATATACATACATATACATACTGTGGGGATTGGTTTTGAGTGGTTGGAGCATCATCCATGTTTGAGAGGTGTTCCAATCATTGGAGGCCGATGCTCCAACGAAGCCAATTTGTTGCACGCCCTGAGAAAAAAGACGTTTTTGTTGTTGCCACTGGGCAAAGTCAGACTCCCAACTTCCCTTTCAGGTTTTAACGAGTCAAACTGAGCCGCAGTGATTCAAATCACTTGTGCTTCCTACAATTCGGGAGGCTCTCTTTTATGGTGGTTCCTTTTGATTTACCTTTGAAACCCTCCAAAATTGAGCGTTCCCTTATTCTGGGAAAAGTACACACTCAGTCTTGGTAGGATGCAGGCATGCTGGCCAGTTGCCTGTCTTTTGTTTGGTAGCTTTGCAAAAGAGACACTTTCTAGCCCTTCCTGTTGAGCCAAGCAGGCACACTGGCGAAGTATATCCTCATCAGACCCAAGTAGATTATGCTAGTGGATGCCGCAAGAGGGTTCCGGCAACAGTGCAACTCGCTTCATTTGCATGTGCTTGATTGCGAGAGTTTCCGGGCCTAAACAATTAGAATGGCGTGGGGTGCTAAACAAATACATTTAGCCAGGACTACAGCAGTAAACTGTTTTTGTGTACCCTCCCTCCCACTAACACAACACGTCACAGGGGTTCCTTCAAGAGGAAACAGATCTTCCATTCCTACAGGTGCCATGGCAACGTGGAAGGAAGGGTCATGCCTTTGATATTACTCCCACGCGTTTGCCCACCGGGATTTTCCAGGTTGCAAGTTCAGCCACAGCCCCGCGTCCGCCAACTGTACGCCGGCTTATAACCCGTTCGGAGCCATGGCAAGGGGAGTTCGAAAGAAGGCGTCGCTAGGCTGAGCTCGCCTTTCGAACATTTTGCTTTGGATATTCCATCATTTCGCCTTTCAATCATCAAAGAGGCTTACTCCCTCTGAGGGAGGGGTTGTCCCCTTTTTGCGGAGGTCCATGGTCAAGACTCAAGGTCATGAAGGGCTATGTCTTTTCCAGCGGCTCCCAGTTAGCCAATAGTCAACAACCTGCTTCGCCTGAAATGGCCGTTTTCTGGAAAGATTCGGATCCCACTTCGAGATGGTAGGTTACCCTAGATGAAAGGGTGGAAAGATTCAGAGCTGTGGAATTCAGTTTCCCCCACATGAAAGGAAGCCCAATTTGTGTCAATGGATCCAGAAATTACACTTAAAGGGGCGATCGGGTCCTTCGTTTTCGTGGTTAGTAAGCCTGGTTACCGACAAAAGCCATGGTTATGAGCCCAAGTGGTTTTACCCAGGCTTCCCTAAGCCCTAAACCCTAAACCCTAAACCCTAAACCCTATACCCGTTATCGCCCCTAGAGGAGGTCATGGGCAGTGCGCCCTCACTTCGCTGGCTGCTGCCTCTGCCCGAGCCGCGCGGCGAGAGCGCTGCCTGAGGAAGGCGCCGATGCGAGACAGAGCGGGCTGCGGAAAAAGGGGGGGGCGGCGGCGCGTTTGGCCTGGCAACGCCCGATGTGAGTGGGTGAGCGAGGGAGGGAGGGAGGGAGGGAGGGAGGGAGGGAGAGAGTGAGGCAGTGCGTGGGTGGGTGGGTGGGTGGGTGACTGGCAACCAGGGTGGTGGAATCAAGGGGTTTATTCCCACGTCTGTGATACAAGGGAATCTCCCCCTGCATATGGGGTGTTAGTCTTTGGGGTTAGGCCCTTTTTGTTGTATCACAGATGTGGTCAACCCTGCTGGCAACTGAATTGACTGAAGAGTGCGTTGGCCACACTGGACTTGCATTTGCCTTGGGCCTTTGCGTGCGGACGAGAAAGTACAGATACAAAGTGGGCTCATAGACGTGCATGGGCTTCATGCTCATCGTCTTCAAAGTCCACATGCAGAACTCGTAGAATGCCAGGACCTTTTGTTTTGCCGAGGGGTAAGTCCCTTTAGGGTATGGAATTTCTCCAGGTTCTTTCTCTTCGGTCGGTTCGGATGGCTGAATTTGCTGGTTGGACTTGAGCTGTCGTAAGACTTTTACGTCGCCACTTGAAGGGGGTTCTAGAGCTCGCTTTGACACAGGTCCAAATACCAATCTGAGTTGCAAACGTTGTTTTCACAGGTGGTCCCTCCTCAGATGTCAAGAAACTCAAATACAGCAATTCCACTTTCGCCTTTTCCACCAGAACCATCATTCGAGGCTGGCCCAGAATTTTGCCTCCTATCAACTATACACGGAATTGATTCAAAGACAGACCTTCCAGTGTGCGTTACTACGACCCAATGACAACAACACATCTCCAAAAAGAACACCCCCGTTTTGGTGTCCTTCCGTGAGCTTGGGGCCGGGTACCCTTTGATTTGAAAGCACTAAACTTTGGAAGCCATTCATCGAAATCGGGGGTCAAAACTAGATACCCCAACTGGAACCCTGGTAAGTTGGAACAAGGACTAAAACCTGCGGTCCAATTCCTGGTGGTTTAATTTTGACCCATACCCAAATGTCCAACTCAAAGTGACCCAATCCCTTCAAATCTTTTGGCCATCCAAAAACGGGTGGTTAGTCCATCCCTTCCGCCTGACCTCCCTTGGTGGCCGTAGTTGCCTGGTTGCCTCGTTGGTTGGCTGAGGGCCTTCCATTCAGCCACTGGGGTTTCAAGAGCCCAAGGAAACCAAGGCCAACACCAGCCCAGGCACACCAACACAGACATTCGTGTTGACCCAGGATTGAATAAACCCGGTCCCGGTATTAGGGGGGAAGTTCCCTCCAAAAGTGGTCCGAATCCAACCACTAAAAGGAATGGGACACCCCCCGGTTAATCAACCAGGGGTTTATTAATCCGGGGTTAACGTTATGACAAAGGAAGGGCAGCAAGAGCTGGAACCATCGGGGTTCAAGAACCAACCCAGGGGAACTCCAATGCGTCCAAAAATGGAGAAGGGTCATCCCATCCGAGTCTCAGAGGCGCCGGGTTGTCTTATTGCATCCAAGCCTCGCCCTGGTTGCCAGGGCTGGTTGGCTGGTTGCCTGGCTGGCTGGTTGCATTGTCGGCTGTTTGCCTCAATCCATGCTGCCGGGAGATCCTTTCCCCTCTGGTTCCCTGGTTGGATTTCCATTTAACCAGAACTTTGGCGAGCTCGGGGGAAGCGCTGGACCATTTCCCGAGGTCGGGTTCCAAGCCGCCACCGTTTTCGCCTGGCACCTCGCCGACGGCATGCTGCGCGTGGGCGCCGCTCAGGGCACGGCCTGGAGCTGAGCGAGCGGGTCGCGGGACCAATTTTGGGGTGGTTTGAAAGAATCCGTTTCTCCAATCATTGTGTGCACTGAGGGGTTCTTACGGTAGGAGCAAAGGCCCGGTGCTAGATCGAGGCGCCCGGCCTGGCCGCGAGCATTTTGCGCGGTATTTCCCGCACAATCGTGATGTTGTATGATGTCGAAGTGCGTTTCGCCTGCGCAGGCTCGCACAAAATGAGGCCCACGAGTTTGTTCAGGAGCATTTTGCGCGGTATTTCCCGCACAATCGTGATGTTGTATGATGTCGAAGTGCGTTTCGCCTGCGCAGGCTCGCACAAAGTGAGGCCCGCGAGTCTGTTCGGGAGCATTTTGCGCGGTATTTCCCGCACAATCGTGATGTTGTATGATGTCGAAGTGCGTTTCGCCTGCGCAGGCTCGCACAAAATGAGGCCCGCGAGTTTGTTCGGGAGCATTTTGCGTGGTATTTACCGCAAAATCGTGATGTTGTATGATGTCGAAGTGCGTTTCGCCTGCGCAGGCTCGCACAAAATGAGGCCCGCGAGTTTGTTCGGGAGCATTTTGCGCGGTATTTCCCGCACAATCGTGATGTTTTATGATGTCGAGGTGCGTTTCGCCTGCGCAGGCTCGCACAAAATGAGGCCCGCGAGTTTGTTCGGGAGCATTTTGCGCGGTATTTCCCGCACAATCGTGATGTTGTATGATGTCGAAGTGCGTTTCGCCTGCGCAGGCTCGCACAAAATGAGGCCCGCGAGTTTGTTCAGGAGCATTTTGCACGTTATTTCCCGCACAATCGTGACGTTGTATGATGTCGAGGTGCGTTTCGCCTGCGCAGGCTCGCACAAAATGAGGCCCGCGAGTTTGTTCGGGAGCATTTTGCGCGGTATTTACCGCACAATCGTGATGTTGTATGATGTCGAGGTGCGTTTCGCCTGCGCAGGCTCGCACAAAATGAGGCCCGCGAGTTTGTTCGGGGGCATTTTGCGCGGTATTCACCGCACAATCGTGATGTTGTATGATGTCGAGGTGCGTTTCGCCTGCGCAGGCTCGCACAAAATGAGGCCCGCGAGTCTGGCCGCGAGCATTTTGCGCGGTATTTACTGCACAATCGTGATGTTGTATGATGTTGAAGCGCGTTTCGGCTGCGCAGTGTCGCGCAACATCTCTCGCTGTGGCGGGTGCAAACCCCTAGCTTTTGATTGGCGTGTTTTTTCTGTTTTAATCGTTTGCACACTGCCAATCTTGTCACGTTCCGTTCAACAGAACTCATATCAATCAGGATTTCACTCGACACCACCCTGCAAACCCAAATGCTCAGGTAACCCTTAGTTCGTGGTGTAGATTGGTGGGGATTTGAACTCCTGGATGTTGTAGAGGGTGAATGGGAAGCCACCCCCAACCACCAAACCACCAATGGTGGTTTTTCTTGGAAGCCAATTGCAAAACACATCTTTTTGTGGGGGCTCCAACCTAGAAAAAGAGAAAACACACCCAATTGGTATTCAAAGAACGAGGTTGCCAAATTGACCCACCCCACCCCCACCCTTACCCCCACCCCCACCGCCACCCCACCCGACCGACCACCCAGCCCACCCCGTCGGCTTTGAGCTCTGCTTCGAGGCCCTGCACCTCTGCCGATCGCCGACCGGCGAGCTGGGCGGCTGGAGGCCCGTTCCGTCGCTTGAGCGCAGGAGAGGGGCAATATGTTTTTGCACATTTTTTTGATTTTTGCACCTTTTTTTGCCCACCTTTTTTGCCCACCTTTTTTGCCCACCTTTTTTGCTTTGACAAAGTGGCGCGATTTTAGCTTTGACCTATTTTTGCGTTGACATATTTTTGTGTTCTTCCCTCTTTCGAAAAAAAGGGCTTGATTTCAGAAGCTCAAGGAGAAATCGGCGTCCTTCCCATGGCGACTGCTTTTGCTTCTGATTGTGAGCGGGGGGCTTATTTCAGGCCAGAAAGGTCTTGTTGGGTGTTTCCTTTCCAGCATTTTCCCAGAAGACCTGGAAATTGCAGAACTTACTTCGGGAAAAAACAAGAGAAGGAGTGTTCTTGCAGCTCGTTTTGGACACCCAGTTTCATCCTTTGCTTCACTTTGACGTTTTGACACTCCAAGCTCAGCGAGCATCCAGCTGTCCGGAGTCAGGTTCATTGGCGTCAAACGTGGTTGCCCGCCTGTCTGAAAGAATAATCTGTGGGTCCAAAGTACCAACCAGGGTTTCAATCGGCACAGCTGCAACCAAGTGGATGGGTTTTGGCCAAGGCTGGTTTTTGCTTTTTTCACTTGATGGTCAGGGGATTTGGCCAAAAGGATGGTATTTGTCGGGTTTTTGTTTTTTTTTTCAGACCCAGGACCACTTGGATGGTCAAGTGCTTTGTGGGAGCTGAGGCTTCGGGGACGGACTCATTGGGCCATTCTCTTGGGCAACGGGAAATGGAGAAAGCAGCGGGGTAAGAAGAGGAGCAGAATCAGTTTGGTGCGCTTAGATCAGTTTGGTTGCAAATCCATGAGTTCCACTGGTTGCACCTTGGTTCAATCTTCATTTTCCAGTGCCATCGATTTTACGAAAGGCCCACCTATCAGAATGATTCAACGCATGATTCGTTTGGATCGGTTGGGCTGGATGTTTTGTTCAGGGTGCGTATTCAAGTAGGTAACAACCATCCTTCCAGTTTGGTACATTGCGTCTCCCTTCACCACGTGGTTTTCTCGCGTTGGCGAAAAAGTGACCCTGAAATGATGCCGGTTTTCTCCCAAATGACGTAACCTTGTTGTTTGTCGACAGTCTAAATGGCACCCAACAAAAGCACCCGTAGAGGAATCTACCTTGGGCCCCCTTATTCGGGTTCAATCTGGTATTTTGCCGATCGATATGTCTGAACGTATGTAAATATGTACACATGTGTGAAAAGGACGTGAATGAAAGGGCCCCAAATGAAAATTCGTCTCAACCACCGACCACCCCACCCCACCGTCCATCGACCACCCCACCCCACTGACCACCCCACCCCACTGACCACCCCACCAACCACCCCACCGACCACCCCACCGTCCACCGACCACCCCACCCCACTGACCACCCACCGACCACCTCACCGACCACCCCACCGACGGTGGGGTGACTTTCGCAGGCCCCTGGAGTTGTCTGCCCTGCTGCCCTCGCCGCTTTCTTCACGCGGGGGCGGGGGAGCGCCGCTGGTGTTAAGCGCGCTAGCGCGGCGGCCCAGGATACG